TCTCTCTCCCTCTCTCTCTCTATTTCTCTTTGCTACTTGTTTACGTTTTATTTTGAATGTCGTTAGCTTAAGATTAGAAAACTCCAAATCCCCTTCGAAGTGCCTTCTATTTTATCAAATCTCAAAACTAAAATGGAATCTCAAAACGATAAATATTTCAACTCGTAAGTTGTTTAAAACTCTAACATGTTCAAAATTCAAATTCTAAGTTAGTTTGAATTTAAAGAGCTTTAAAATCTGAAATTCGCCTAAGTAAATTTCTCATGAGTTTAATGATTTCAAAATTGTAAAGTTAAAATAAATAATAGTCAAATAAGTTAATCGCCGGATAACCGTAAGTTAGCGGAGTGTCTTAGGTGCCTAACACCTTCCTAAGACATTAATAGGAATCCCGAACCCTTAAAAGTTTCCAAACAATTTTCTGTTTAATTATTTGAAATCAAGTTTTCTTAATTTTCTCAAAATTAAGTGGCGACTCCTAAAAAGTCTAAAAACAAACTCTTTTCGAAAAAACCACTTTTCGATAAAACAGAAATAGTATGGTACTGTTGACAAAAGTTGGCCACGTTACAAAAGCCCCTATACACACTTGTTTCTATTCAATTTAGCTTAGGTTGTTTGCAAGTATTTTTGTTAAAAAAAAAATTGTAGTATGTAGCAAGTGGAGAGGTTGAAAGGAATGGAGGGTTTCACGTGAATTTAATGCTAATTTTTATCTACATTAATCATATGTTATAAGAAATTTACTAATGACATATACGTCGCCTTAGACCCTTTTTACTAAAAAAAAATTTCAATAAAAGATATTCAGTAAGATTTATTTTGTGAGAAAAGAAAAACTAGTACTAATGTACTGATGTGAAAAAATTGAAGAGTTTTGTGAGAAAAGAAAAACTAGTACTAATGTACTGACGTGAAAAAATTGAAGAGTTCTTCACTCTAAATTTTCTAGTGAAATGGTTTAATAAAAATAATGGAAAATTCATATTTTGTAACATAGAATTTTCATTGATTTGTGATGGGAAATTGAACGTAGTTAGAGATTCATAATTAGGTGAGTTTATGCATGTAATGAAGAAACATTTAACCTGCATTATTAAGATTCGATGTCGGCATCAAATCATTAATCATGAGTTAATTGTCATTTTTATGGTCATTATCAACTGTGCAATAAATTCTAAAACTGACATGTGAAAATGTTTCTCAATGATTTTCTTCTTGCTAGACATTTCTATTACTTTTCTTATAGATTTAACTCTACGTAATATTGTTAAATAAAAATAGTTTGGTAGCTAAAAAAGTCACCAAAACAATTGTGCTGTTATTATTATTATTATTATAAGTATTCTTTGACGTGGCCTAGTGATTTGAGCTTGAGATTTTCATATCGAAGGTTTCAAGTTCGAAACTCCTTGCAAGTTAAAGCAAGGAGTTTGCCTTCTCGATCGAGTTTTACTCTGTGCGCACTCAAAAAGATAACGACGATAGATTTTCCTTGTCGTCAAAAGAAAAATATTAGATTTTACTCTTAACTTGTACTATTACTATTTACTCTTGTTACAAGTTATAAAATCATTTTTGTTAGAGAAAATTTTACGTCAAATATGAAAATTTTCAAGGCAATTACCCAAAGAAAAACTAAAAAAGTAATAAAACATCATTCGTGTGATTATAATATTATTAAGAGTCTGCATTATATTTCCAACAAATGACTCTACTAACATTTATGGTGTTTATATTATTTTGATTATGTCACATGATATGAAATCAGTTTATATATATATATATCCGATTGCGATCGCATATTTGCGATACACCTTTTTTATTTTTAATTCACTATGTATACCTAATTTATTGCACCATCTGTGAGGAGAAAGTGTTCTTGTCATATCCCATAGGCCATATTTCAAACTTTTAAACATTAAAAATAAAACAACAAGTAGACAATGCCTCGTGTCCAACTTTACTTCTCAAATTAATCATAATTTTTTCAATTACGCAAATTAATTCTTATTTTAAGTACATTAATATGAGTATCACAGTATATTAGGTCTTATGTATCTACAATACAACTTTTAAAAGGGTCATAGGTGAAGAAGGACCATGTTCAGGCCTACCTGTTAACGCAAACGAGTGACTGCGCTTTCAATTTTTTTAGATATTATTTTTCACTTTAATTTTTTCAAATTTCACAATAATAAAACGTGAAGATCAAACATCAACGGTAATAATTATGTTTGTTAAAAACATAAACCTCTTATTTATTTTTTATCTTTTATAAATTAAAAAATGGAAAAAAATTCATTGGCCCAATCTATAAAAAATGGGAAAAAGAAATAGCAAATATCTCATAAAAGCAAAATAATTACAAACATATATTTCTTTACATTCATACCTCACTAAATAATTACATTATTACCCTATTTACTAGTTTCGCTTGACTGATACTAAATTAGTATCATATATACTATGTTGGTATCACTAAAAGCTGATAATTCTGCTTAATTAATACTAAATCAGTATATATACACTCTCATAGTATTATTGACTAAAGAGTAATTTTTTTTAGGCCTAAGTCATATACAACCCCCTAAACTTGTCCACATATTTCATTTAGACACCTCAATTCAACTGTATACCAATTGAACACTTATATTGTAAAAGATTTCTACCTATTAAACATTTTGTGCTGACATGGCAGCATGTGTGTAGTACACACATGAAAAGAGCGTGAAGGGGCATCATTTAACCAAAAAAAAAAATTTTCTTTTTTTTAAAAAATAAAATAAAATTAGCATCTCTTCATCTTCTTCTTTGACTCAACCACCATTAGAACCACCTTCTCACCACCGTAATCACCGGTGTCCCACCATTAAAGTATATTCCTTTTTTTCTCGAGCTGTAATCATTCTTCTTCTCTATACCACCTTGTTTTTTAATTAAATGTGCGTCACCATATCCACAGTGCTCTTTCCCTTTATTTTTTCGGTCATCTTCTTCTCTTTTTTTTTTTCAGACCATCATCTTTTTTCTCCTTTTTTACCAGTTATCGAACACCACCTCATTTTTCTCCAAATTTATCATCGTCAATATCTTTTTTTATTTTTAGCTTTTCATACAATCAATTACAAATTTTAATTTGTTCATTAGAAAACAATGCCACCAATCATCTTTTTCTTTATGCCAAATCAACTCAAACATGAATTGAATCGAAGCTTAAAAATAAAACATTGATTAGATAAAAAGAAGTAGAAAAACTTAGTTGATTTAAGTGTTTTTTTTGGGGGAAAAAAAGGAGGAAGAAGATGAAGTTGGGGTGGGGTGGGGGGAGGGAGGAGCAGGTCTAAGCGGAGGCAGGAACATACATACTTTAGGATTTTATTTTTTTTAATTATAATTATTTTTTAGCACAAAAAACAAATTTAAGACACGTGGCTTCTTTTAATTAATTAGTTTGTCATGTCATGGCAAGTGCATCACACACACTTGACATTTTTTGTTGATTATCAAAATGTGTCTAATAGGAAAAATTTTATATAAGTAAAAGTGTTCAATAGGTAAAAGGTTAAATTGATGTGTCTAAATGAATAATGAGGACAACTTTAAGGGGTCACAGATGACTTTGGCCTTTTTTTTTATAGGAAACCACATTAATATACATACATGCTCTTATAGTATCATTGATTAATAAGTAATTTTTAAACAAGAAACATTAATAATACCAATACAATATATATATACTGATTTTAAATTTTATGTTTTTACTAAAACAGCCAGTATGGACTATGGAGCGATTTTTTCAATTTAATTTTAATTTTATAAAAATATACTTTTTGGACAAGATTGCTGGTAGGTCAGTGATGTTTGAAAAAAAAAAATTTTGAACGATTTTTACTCTTTAAAGGGAGTAAGGGCGCGAAAACAAATCCCTCCTCAAGAGCATTTTTAAAAACAAATGATGTGGCCTTTTAAAATTTTTGTCAATTTTTTTTTGTTGTTTTAAACTCGATATTCCTATTATCTTCAATTATTCCGGTGCTCGAATAGTTTTGAATACTGTGTTTGTTCATCAACTTTCCATTTTGTCGAATCGGTTCAAAACATGTCTTGTTCATTAACTATACAATTTGTCAAATCTGTTCAAAACATGCCTTGTTCATCAACTATACAATTCCTGAAATGGTGATTTTACCTAACTTTCTCCGCTCAAGTATATGCACCAGTTGAAATGTGTGTCTACTGTTTTGTTTATGAAATAAAAATCTCTTATTATTTACATACATATACTCTTGATCATCGCCTAAATAGCATTTGGCTTATATTTTAGGTGTTTGATACTTTTTTAAGTTCACAAAAATATAATTGAAGATAAACAAACATACATCCTCTTATTGTCCATGTACAGGTATTGAGATATCCAGTGGTTCTCCAGGAGTAGGTTCAACTACCTTTGCATCTGGTAGTTCCTTTGACAAAAGTTGCTGTCACAAAGAAACAAATTGCAAAGACAAAGGCATTCAACAACAAATTATGCATCCATGCATTTTCCACTATTACTCTTCATCATTAGTAAACTGAAACTAACAGACATGTAATAAAATTTCTTAATCTTGACGAGTTATCTTTGATCCTCTGGTTGGTTAATGGATATATACATTGTTTCAGCCTAAGTAATTTCTAGTTAGATGATTTTTGTGCATAATTCTGTATCAATCAATTTCTGAAACAGAAAGAGTTGTTGCTTATCTGTTAGTACAAATACAAAAAAGCAGCAGTGAAGTTTCTTAATGGATAACACAGTTATATGATGAAGTTAACCATAAAGTACCTTGAATGATTCCATTGTTCCTTCAGATTTTACAATACTAGCGAGAAGCCCTTTGCTGTCGAGGTCACCATTCTTCATCGGCACAACAAACCTATAAAAATAATTACTTATTGGATTAACTAATTAATCATTGTTTCTGGAGAAACTAATAAAGTACGTTAAAGAATGACATAAGATAGGTGGACTCCTTGTAAGGTTTGGGCAATCCTCCTCCCACCTTTTGGGTGTGAGTTAAGTCTAAGACCTAATTACACATGGTATCAAAGGATTGTACAAGCTTTATAAGGAGTCCACTATCTCATTAACCACCGACGTGGGACTTTTGTCATTCTTTAATGCCCCACCTCACGTCCAGTGCTTAGCATCTGGTGCGTGTACAATTTCGATTTTGGGGATCCCCAACATCGGGTGAGACGGGCCCTGCTCTGATACCATGTGAAATTAGGCCTAAGACCTAATTTCACAAAGTCAAAGGGCACATGAGAATTTTTTTCAACATTACATACCTGGCAAAAAGGCATTTTGCTAGTTGAACTGCATCTTCTTGTCCCGAAACCAATGTAAAATTTGGTAGAAGTTGCTTTATGACAGGAGTGATAACAATATCTGCCCTGTGTTTCTCTAAGGTGCTCTTGTCATAGACACAGTGAGGTTCATAGTAGAGAGTAAGAGCACCTTTTGGAGAAGTGACAAGATATCTGAGAAAACAAATATTAATTACAACCATGGATGGGTAACGAACGATAATGTGTAATTATTAATTATATCTACCCATTCTCAGGTCGCTGCCAAGGAGGTCCAAGAACTGGCCCTGCCGTAGCCTTAATTTTAACCTGGAACCCATTACTCACTTCAATCGCGGAATCCTGTCCAGGTTCCAAGTAGATGACCTGAATATTTTCATTTTTATGCATGATGATTTGACACTCATATGTAAATCATTTTGAACCATACATATATATATATATATGAAAAAGCTAACTAACTCACATTGGTGAACAGAGGATCGAGCAGTGTCTTAGCATTTGGAGTAGCTATAACAGTGAGGTTTGGGAACTTGCGGGAGAGAGGCTTTAATGTGTTGAGATGACAATGATCATCAAGGCTTTGCGTGATGAGTAAGCAGTGTATTAGTGGAAGGTCATCAAGCTGCACATACATAATAAGAAAAAATTAATTCCATAGTAATAATTTTTTTCATATGGATGATACTAATTAGTATATATACCTGGAAATTCTTGACAAATTTTTTGGCAGCATCATATAACCAAGGAATTCCAAAATCCAAGTTACCCACCAAGATTGGATCAACAAGAATTTTGATACCTCCAACTTCCCACAACCAGCTATTCCCCTAAATAAATAAATAAAATAAATAATAATTCGAATGAATATATATATATAGAAAAATTCACCTCTAAGTAAGTTAATGTGAAGGTATCCTCGTAATAATTCGACTCCACCACATTTTTCTTATAGGCAGAGATGACTGTTGGCCGCAACGGAAGTGAAGATGAATATGAAGATATTAAAAAAGGAAAGCAGCAGGCAGGTGAGAGCTTGAATTTGGTAACTTTTTCAGTTGCAGGGAATGGGAACACGATCTGTTTAGGGGTCAAGTATGGAACAAATTTGCAATCAATAGCCATCACTTCCTCTTCACTTCACAATTAAACTTCAATTTTATCATTATATCAGAAACACATACATGGTTTAGGTTTTGCCATTTGGCATCCCCTACTTTAAATCCTTATCTATAACACCAAATACATTGAAGGATAAATTTTACCAAACAAAATTACAATTTATCTGTATTAATTTTTATACAAATATGAAACATAATATGTAGCTCGGATACATTAAAGAGTATCTCGAATATATTATAATATAAATCGGATACATAATATGTAGCTCGAATATATTAAAAGCTAGCTCAGATTATAGTATAAAATAAATCGGATACATAATAGAAGCTTGAATACGTTAAATACTGGCTCGGATACATTTTCAAAAATAAAATTTTTTAGAGGTTTTTAGAAATTAAAAGGGATATTAGAAATAAGGGAAACGTAAAATGTGTATTTCAATAATTTTTCCAATAAATTTCTTGTTTGGACCCATTATAACGAGCAACTTTTACATATAGCAAACACAAAAATCATATTTGAATACTATAGTTATATAGTTTGCATAATTGTGCTTCATAGCAAACATGGTATGGCTATTTCGCTATACATCTATGCAAAAGAAGTAGGTTAATTCGGTTTACATATATACATAAGAAACAATTGTATAATTCGCTGGCTCCTCTTTAGATTTGTATAATTTCGCTAGCAGACCATTTGTATAAATTGTTATTAGCCTCTATTTGTATAAATCTTTGGCAGTCTCTCAATTCAATTTTATGTATTTTCTATATCTTAATATAATTTGAATTTGTATATCAAATATCACCCCTCTCTGTCGCTTTAAACAAATGTAAATTATACATTATATTTTATATAATCTGTAATTATATAAAGAGAGAGGCAAAAGAGAACTGGACAGGAAAATATTTGTATTATATAATTTTAAATGTATAAGAAGAAAATATATGTATTTTGCATGTACAATTTTCTCTCACTTTATACGAATAGAAACACAATTATACATTTCTGTTTGTATAAAGCGAGAGATAACAGGGAGACACTAACGACCGAGAGAGGGAGAATAACGAACGAGAATTTCTGTATTTATTATTATATACAATTTTCCCAATAACTTATTCTATATATTAGTTATCTGTCCTTTTGGAGAGGTGGAATACTATCTTCACATACAATAACTACAAAAGCATTCCTTTGTACTTCACTTTTCATTACTTCATGTATATCCAAATTTTATACACTCATATATAACCTTTATACAGTTTTTATGTCAAATTACACTTATACCGTTCAGCCACCATTAAAACCTCAACTCACTCTCAATAGGAACAAAAAAAGTTCCCATTTTTTTTTCTTTTTATGTAAATATTAATAACCGGATAATTATCAAAAGATCGGTTAAATTTTGCTTTTATGGAAAAATTCTGCAGATGTTATACCCATGTTAACCCCCAAATATATTTTGGGCCATTCAAAAATTAACCATTTATCACACATAGCCCATAGGGCTTGAGAACAGCCACCAACCTAATAGTACTCCTTTTGTTTTGAACTGTTTGTTCCATTTGATTTAATTCGAAGTTTAAGAAAGTAAGAAAAACTTTTGAATCTTGTGATCTTATTAACGATATATAATATATACCAACATATTTTTGTGGTCTTTAACATGTTATGTGGAAAGTTGAAATTAAAGAATTGTAGAAATAGGGGGAAAAACATTCCTTCTAGCACAGTTTAAAAACAAAAGTAGGACAAATAAATTAAAACAGAGGGTAACTCGTTTTCATCGGAGAAAATCTTGGAAGAAATGTAAAATTACTAAAGAGCTAGTTTCTCTTGAAACTTTGCATTTTGATGAATATGGGCTTCCATTCTAATTTAAGTGAAGTCTTGTCAGCCCAAATGGTAAGCTTTTGATCCATCATTATTCAAACGATGTTTCCCTCAAGTTAAAGAGGGGAGATAGTATGATTATCGAAATCATAGCTTTATAGAGGCGATTAAGGATTTAAAGACTTCGGGTGCAGAGTTAACTTAATTTATGTCAATTTTTCAAGATAGATATACACCTAAACACATGATTTTTCCGAACTTAACAGATTTAGGTCTTACCTCTTGTATTTAGATTATGACCTTAGTCCAAGTAATTTTTTGGCAGGTAAAAAAAAATCAATTATTAACTCAATCTATTTTAACTTTCATAAATCCAATTCAGCTCGTCCATTTAACAACCCTTAATTTGATAGCTCTCAAGGCAAAATAGAGAGACTTCACAATGAACAAACATGTTTTGGTTAAAGTTGGCTTTAATCCAAATATTATATATATATATATATATTTTCGTCTCAATTTATGTAATGTTTGATTTCACATGAAAATTAAGAAATTTTTAAAAATAAATAAATTATTTAACCAAATTATATATATTTGTATAGCTATAAATAATCTCATCGAGGATAAACTAAAAATTTTAAAGTTAAATTATTATAATTAAATATAAAAACGTTTCATTCTTTGTTTTATAATTGACTAAAGGGTATTATATTATGACAAGTCCAATGTTTTACTTTTATGCTTTTTAAATTCTGTTCAATTGTCGTATTTGACATATTCTAATATTCTCTGATTAAATAACTTTGGTTTTAACAGATCTAATCAATGTAATTTCTTTTGATTTAGGGAGAAAAAAATTTCTTTAAAATGTAAAAGGAGGAGGAGTTTTTCAAATCAATAGATACTTTAATTTTTAAAATTTCTCTTTATGGTTGGTGAGGAGTAGGTTGCTATTTTAGTCTAACTTAGACCACACAACTTAACTAACGTTTGGAAAAAGTTATCATTTTGTTTCCAATCGAGCTACCAAATTAGCATTCTAGAATTAATTGACACGTTAAAGAATATAAAATATACAAGAGTATATGAATATTCTTATTATATACATAGAATAATATTTTCTTAAAAGAACACGTATAGTAACAAGTAGGATTGTTTATGGTTATGGTTAATAATCAAATCAAATTGCAATTTGAATCATTTCGATTTTTAAAAAATTGATATTTCATTTGATTTGATTTTTAAATTTTGAAAATCGATACTATTTGATTTGGTTTGGTTTTACTGAAAAACAATCGCAAACAAATAACCAAACTGAACTGATAATAGATAGATAAAATTTATAATTATTTATATATTATTCATAAATTAAAAATATTTTGTAAATTTTAATTAACTTAAGTCTTAAACTTTTACCCTTTTTTCTCAAGCCCAACACTTTAGCCTAAGTATAACAATCTCAAATTCTAGTCTATCAAAATCCATTTTAGTCTTTACGTACTCACTATTGTACTTCACATAAAATAGTTACACTTTCTCTTAAATGAATCACTTTATACGTAGATTGTTTGACTGAACCGACATTAGCTTTTTTGTAGATTGAACATGTGTTTGGTGTTTGTGTCTATCGAGATAGTACGGCCTCAAAAAAAATATTACTTTCAAATCGAATAAACCAGAAAAACTGAAACAAATTAATGGTTATTTTTTTCGTTTGGTTTAATTCGATTTTAGAAATTTTAAAAACCGACTAAATTAATTTTGTATTAATTTTAATCAATAACCGATCAAAACCAAACCAGGAACACCCTAGTAACAAGTAAATGGCATAGCAATAAATTAAAAAAAAATTATGGTAATTATTTTAGTGATAATAATATAAGTGTTGCTATATTCTATATAGTGTCAATTTTAATTATATATATTCATAACCAATATTAAATGTATAACAACTCTAGATGTAATGTTATTAATTTAATTGCCAGTAAAAAAAATTGACGATAAACCTGTTATTTTATTAAATGTATCTTTTGCTATAGCGTAGAAGGTCAATTTTCTAAATTGTATTCTAATCAATTACTTCTTCTATTTCTCATAATTGTACTTGTGTAATCTATAAGTTTTTTAAGTACAAAGCTACACTAGATTCACATAACAAGTAAATTTGGCCATCATTCGAAATTAGAATATGGTTATATAAAATACTATATATGTCTTTTGAGACACTATTTAATGAATTATTGATAAACATGACCCGTATAACGAGATAAATTTCAAACACCTACTAAGTAGCTACACTAGTTATTAATGTGTCCCATCCTACGTATTATTAACCATAAAAACTTATTTACATGTATTGCAATATGTATAAGATATCTGCCTTGTATATATACATATTTTCAAACTAATCATATTTATGTAATATGTATTTTCGATTTACTTTATTGATTCTTAACGTTAATTGTTTGATTAGACGATGTACATACCTTCTACGAGTTACCTAAGAATTTACCAAAATTATTATTGTGTCTCATAAAGCGTTGTTAGCAGGCAATATAATCATCAGTATGTCATGTTATTATTCTTGATTAGTTGTTTTCCAGTTGGTTGATTTTTTTTATTTTTATTTTTTGCTTTTTTGTCTTCCACGTGATTGAATCATACTCTATAAGATGACTTTTTAAAGGCAATTGAACCAAATCAACGGCTTATTAATGTTGACATTTATTAGTTGTTGCTTTAATTAAGGAAGGTAGATGAAAAATAACAACAAAAAAAAATAAGTGGAAAAGAGATAGTAGACTTTAATTTAGTACTGCTTCAAAAAAAAGTGGTTCAAACTTACTTTCTCGACTTTTTTTTTATTAACGTATTGACGTAGTCAAATCTAGTAATAACGATTGATCATTCAAATATTTTTTATTCAAAAAATTGTAGTATCGTGTAATGATACGAATTTAATAGATCAAAATTATTTTTTCTTTTTGGATGCATATATATATAAAATTTTAAATATTTTTGATTAATTTTTTTAACGTTGTTACCATCTCGATATCTTAGTGGTTGAAATAAAGTTTATTCTGGGAAAACTGAACAACCTCATTTTTACTTTTCTTTTCCTTTACATTTTACCTTTTTCTTTTCTACTTCCTTTTTTTATCCGAGTTGTGATTAGAATGCATAAATTATAAGTTCATTCAAATTCAAATTGAATTGAATTAAATAGACAATTCGATATATTAAGTTTTTATTATGCGTAAAGTTTTATAAAAATTGAGGTTTAATAACTACGTTTCTATAAAAAATAACTTTTATTATTCAAATACCAATTTAATATACGGGCTACAACAAGAGTCTACGATATATTGCGAAAAAAATCAAAATTTGAAATAATAATAATAATAAGCAAATCTGGATGGCCCTTTGCTTTGTCCCAGTACTAATCTTGACTGTTACAATAATAATATATCTCTTTGTCAGTTTTCTCGTTATTACAGAAAACTGAATTTCTTGAGACAATCAACCTTTTGGCCATGTCTATTTGAAAGATCATTTTGTTTTGCTAAGGTGTCACTAGGAGAAGAACCACTATTCTATATATACGGTTTTCGTTTCAAATTATTTATTGTGATTTTTAATAATAATTTTATTAAATAAGTTATCATTATTAAAAATAAAGATAAATAATTTGAGATCGATGAAATATTAAACTATAAAATTAGTAGTAAAGACGAGGCGTGCCAAAACATGTGACAATGAACTTTTTTTTGTGTGTTGGGAAGAGTAACCTATTAACCATAACGTAACATGATTGTCGTATTTGATACTGAGCCTACATAATATATGCTTCAAAAATTTTCTGTTTCTCTTGTATCCATAAAATTTGAACTTCCTTTTTGGTCAAACCTAATTTTCCAATTTTTATTCATTCTTCCTTTGCTTTTCTTGTTCGTCCAATCTTTATTCTTCTTTGGGATTTTTTATGGAAAAAAAGGATAAATATATCTTTAAATTTTTATAAATGGTATTTAGATACTATCTGTCATAATTTAGATATTGGTGTCTTTGTCGTCAAAAAACTAGAGCATATATGCTCTTTCGGCTAATGAAAGATTAAATAAAGATACGTGACACAATCTTATCCGTTAGATCGATGGATAAGACTATGAGACGTATATGTCAATTAGTATAAAGGATATATATAGTGTAGTTTTTAGACAGCAAGCGCATCAATATTTTAAAAATATGACTAATGATATCTGCATATCGTTTACTATAGTTGATAAATATATATTTACTCCCTAATATTTCTCCATTTTGTGTCTTGGAAATAGGAAGCTGTTATGACCTTAAAAGTAAAAAGATTCCAAATTCTAATTAGACATCGCTATATACTCTAATTTGTATATAAGTTTAAATATTTCCACGCATCTATCAAATTTTGCAAGAATTTCAAACGTTGTCTCGAGCTAGGATTTAAAACTAATGTTACACACCGTATACCTAAGTTATTTCAAACATTTTCCCTTTTACATTTTCCTTTGATGTATGATTGTATATATTTAATAAATTAATATATACGACAATTAAAATTCAACCACTTGTGTTTTCCGGGTTTAAAATTCAACCACTCAATGCTAAAGAATTAAACTTCAGCAACTACAAAAAGTAAATTCGATGCACGGCAGTTTTTCACATGCCTTAAATAGAATTTAAGAGTAGGAATTCAATTGTTTCACACCTTCATTCCGTTAACTAATAATTATCATTCCAGAAATATATTTTTTTTTGGTGTCTGATTAGCAGAAAAATGTTACGCCATTGATAATTATACATTTTTTACACAATAATTTCAGCTCACCAACCAAATATAGAAAAAACATTTTCTACAAAAACTTTTTTTTTACATAAGAAAAATAACTTTCGTAATACCTAACACATCCAAGGATTTATTCTTTTGGTTGGCCATGTCAACATTAAAAGCAATAAGTACTTTAATTTGATGTTGCATGCATGGTGGTCCATTAATTTTTATAATAATAACTAGCCATACTGACAAGTCTGTTTGATACACTGCTTGGCATAATTCAAAGGGCTCCCTTTTGTATGGAGTTTAAATGAAATAACGCACATAAATACTTTATAATGGCCTCTTTTTATATAGTTCAATTTTTGTAGTTAGAACTTGTCCCAACATTTCCTTGCAACAATTTATTATAGAAATCGTCTATAGTTTTTTAAAATTTCTCTCGGACGGCAGTACACTATCAACATATAAAAATCGATTGATTATTTTTTATTTAAAGAAAAAATTGTGATTAGTTTATCGATCTAGTTTGCTTAATATAACAATTAACCTATAGACAAACAGAGACACAAAATTCAAAAATAAATACATATATATTGATGTATATATCAACACTTCTTAGCTTGCCTCTCTCTAAAACCAACAAGAACTAAAAGTCCCAATGGCTGAGAATAACAGGCCGAGGTTGTATTTGACAATCAAGTCAAAAAAAACTTAAAAAGTAAAAATAAAAATAAAGGGAGTGAAAAAATGATATTAAAAGCACAACCCTAAACTTCTTGTCCCTTACTTTTTCACCCTCACTAGATGGTTTTTTTCTTCAAATTACATCCTTTTTCTTTTTTCAAAACCAAGTTAAATAATTAATCCCCTTTTGCTTTGGTTCTTGTGTCTTTTTTAGGAAATAATAATAATAATTAGCAACGAGAACCCTTTTTACAGTTGAGTGCACCAGAACTAGACACAAGATTGGCTACTAATGAAGACGGCCTTGCACTCAAACTCGAAGCTTTAGCATAACTTGATGAACCAGTTCTAACTCCTGATCGCGTAAAAAATGCACCATTCAACATTAGGTCCCCATCGGTCCTCCAATTCCAATTCTTCCATTCACTCTCCGGTGCATCCTCGTGCTTTGTAACCTACATAAATATAATAAAATTACCCGTTAACTCATTAACAGACTAGATAGAAAAATGTAAGTGAAATAACTAACTAACCTCTTTGCTAAACCTGATATCAGGGGCAAGAAATCGGTTCCCTTGACTATTGATAGTGGGATCAGCACTTCCACCAATAGCATACATTTCCCAATGTGTGTAGTCATTGTTCACCACATGGAAGTAACCATGTCTACATCTGCATTTATTCCAAATAATAATTCATAAAATTCACATTGTCAAAATTGTCAGTATATAAAAGTTAAATAACTCAGGCTCATACCTTGGCATTCTTTGGACAAGACCTTCACCAAAGTGATTAAAAGCTATAGTTACTTGCATGTTTTTATCTTGAGTATATGTATCACTATGTCCCAAGAGCATAACTTTATCATGATGTGTCATGTAATTATTTGAAATGGTTATTGCTGTAGACCCCATAATCGCATCAATCAGACCGTCCTTACAGTTGGACAAAGAACAATGATCCACCCAAACATGGCTCCCACCGAATATGGACACTCCATCACCGTCCGAAACAGTTCTCCACCCGTAATGCGATGGACTGCTCCGCACCATAGCATTTCCACCTTGTTTACAGTCATGTATATGAATTCCGTGTATAATAATATTCGTTACGTACTGTATTGTTATACACGGACCACCCGCTATGTGTACGCTAGCGCCCCTTCCGTCTATCGTTTTAAACGAATTCATAATTAATTCCTCTTTCAACTGTATAACCATATCCCTCGCGAAAATAATCCACAGTGGCTCAGTCTGAATCACTGCGTGCCGGAGAGTCCCCGGCTTCGGAGTGACGGCATTGTCGTCACCCGAATCGGTCACCACGTAGATTTTACCGTCTCTACCACCAATAGCGTTTTTCCCAAATCCAATTGCACAGTCAGCTAACCGCTGACGGTTTTTCTCCCAATTCGGATCACAACGCCAACAATCGTCGATTGGATTTCCGGTACCACACGATAAATACCCTAAATTCCTCCTTGAACCATTTATACTCCTGCATTATTATAATAATAATGTACACATGAGTATTACCATATGCAATTATTTTAATACGAATGAACTCCTTGTTCCTATCTGACTCTGTCCCTTTTCAAATATGCAATGTTGAATTAAAATAAAATTAAAAATGCACGTACCTGTGTACTTCATCGACAACTTGTTGAGGATTAGAGGAGGCAAGGAGGGACGGGAGAAGGAGAAGAAAAGAAAGAAGGAATAGTAGAAAAACAGAGGAAGTGCCCATTGTTTGTTTTATAAATTAGCTTTAAAAACAGAGGATTTTGGGTTATGAAGAAAAGAGAGGGAAATGGAGGAGTTTATAAAGAAGGAAAAAGTAGAGAAATTAGCGTAATTAAACAAAAGGGATGGGTCCCTTGTTCCTTCGTGATTACATGTTTTACGGAGATTCCTCTAACCTAGATGATAGAGAGAAGAAGACTACGGTAGTTTTTGTCTGTTCAAGTAACAGTATCTATCTCTTGTTAGCATATGATTACTACTCTAGCATACGTCCAATTAAACGCGTTTAAGTTATATATATATATACATCGTTCAATATCATTACGTAAAATTACTATCTGTTATTGATATATGATTGGTATATGTCAATTAAACGTGTATACGTTATATACATGATCAATCAAATGTATTTAGGTTATATACGTTGTTGATTTAAAGAGCTTTTTACTATTAGGTCATCCAAGAAATATTTACTAACATGAGACTTTGTAAAATATAACTCATATTTGTTAAGATAATTTATTTGCTATAATATATATTAATGACATGAAATGTTATAGCATTTAATATAGCATAGCTTAAAAATCTCAAAGAAAAGTATTTTCTCCTAACAAAGTCCAATTTGAGTGTCATGTCAAAATACGCTTAATTTTTTTAAAATATTGACGTTCATTTCTTAATATTTTCAAATTATATATACAAAATTAGTCCAATGAGAATTTTTAAAATTTTATAAATATTCTTTCAGTATATAGCGCTGAACTAAAAAATTATTGATATCGGCTATTGCAATGATGTGATTTTCTTAGAACAAAATACAATTTTTAATAATAATAATAAATTAGTTGATCACCATAGCCATATTATATTGCTCCTTTCCCGCATGCAAGTTACTATATATAAAAAAATAAAAATTCAAAATCATTTGTAATTTCTATGTCATAGAATAATGTGTAGAAATAATTAAGGGTTGCATGCATGATCTATACATAATTGTCTATTTTAATAGGCCTAAGTCATCTCCAGCCACTCAAAGTTGTCCGCATAATTTATTTAGACACTTTAACTAATCCTTGTATCAATTGAACACTTTATTTGTTCAAAAGTCATTCCTATTAGACACAAAATGCTGACATGATAAAAAACGTGTAATTCACTTTCCTTGAGCGCGTTAATTTATTAAAAATAATATTTTTATTTTTTCCCCTTAATTTATACCTCTAAGTTAATTTTTTTTAAAGAAATTAACAAAAAAGAAGAACAGTTGTCTTCTTCTTCCCTATTTCTATCAACCCCAACCCACCCCACCCCAACCCCATACCTATACACCAGTGGTTATCTTCTTCCCCCACCATTCTAATGATTTCAAAATTCTTAGTATCAGTGGTTATCTTCTTCCCCCACCATTCTAATGTTTTCAAAATTCTTAGCATTTTATGTTCATTTATAAATTTTTTGGAGAGATTTTTTTCCGCATCTTTCTCTACCTAAAAAACGAGATGAAGTAAAAA